CCGTGAACAGCGTGTGGGTTTGTATGCAACGTGAGCATTTCTCTGAGTTTCCCAGCGCCAACATCATCAACTGACTTAAACTCGAACAATAAAAAAACTTATAGAGTGACTCCTATGATCGAATCGCTTCGAACAACCCAGATAGCCTTCTTCAGGTTCGCAATGCCTTCTTGGTTTCTGGGGGTTGGAGACGAGGTACAAAAAGTATTCGTGCAAGGATCCGTGCACGGGAAAATCGTGTGAAACCATTTGTGAGAACATCGTTTCTCGGCACCAGGCCCTCGTATCTTCCCTCCCCCGGGGGACCAATTTTCTGCACAGACGACCGAAAACCGAATTTATAACTGGGCAGCCCAGTAATCAGTTCGAAAAAAAAATCAGAGACTGTGTTTTAGCAACTCTCGTATATCTTCCCCATCCTGCATGAGGTCATCGTACTGTTCATTTCCGCGGTCATCATCGTCATCGTAGAAATCATCCTCCCATTCCTCCCCAACTTAAATGCAAAAGTTATGCAGCACTGCACAAGCAATGGAATTCTTCACTGAGAAAGTTATTCTGCTATCCAACCGCTTTTGTAGAATTCGCCAACGACTTTTCAGGTGGCCAAAAGCGCACTCGATGGCTACTCGTGCAGATGACAGTTCCTTGTTAAGAGTCATCTCGCCAGGGTCACACGTGGCTTCAGGATAAGGCTTCATAACCCAGGGGGAAGTAGGCTTGCACTGTCTCCTACCAGGTAAGGGCGGATATCTGTAACACCAATCCTTTCAACGGGTTCTCCCTGTGTATCTTTGTTGCTTTCTCTTTGATAAAGACAGCTGTTTCTATATACCCTAGTGTCGTGAAGACTTCCCGGATAACCTGCAGCAAAGTCAAGGAATAATCCCTTACCGTCAGCAACGGCACTCAATCATGTTGCTGATTTCGACCGAAATAATCAACAGCACCGTCTCTGGGAGAAATTATTTTAATATGGGTCCCATCTATGGCTCCAACAATGTTGGAAGTCGTGATTTGTCCCTAAATGTCTCAGTATACACCTCATTGTCTCAGCCACTGTTGTTGGGAATTTGATGTACTCGTTCCTCAATTCATAAAGAGCCTCAACAACATCTTGACAAGCCTCTATTGCTGTAGTTCTACCGACGTTTAGCGCAGGTCCTATTGTTTCGTACGAATTTCCATGTGCAAGGCCAAACAAACCACAAGCAAGAACCTTTTCCGGCGTAAGACAATTTCGCAGTATTGTATTCTGTCTTGTCAGCCGGTTGCGAATTACGTTGAGCAACAAATCGAAGCTTTCTCTGTTCATTCGTAAAAGCCTTCGAAAGTAGTCCACTGGTATTGTCTGATCGGTGTAATGGATCTCGAACCTCAATTCTACTGGACGAGGAGGAGTCCAATAATATGGTGCTTGTCTTCGATAACGATTTTGTCGACGGCGAATACGTCGTGTCAATAGCAAGTTTTGTGTTTGTAAATTCTGCATAAATAACAGGCAGCATATCATGAAATTGATATTTGCCTGCTGCTGAGGCACCAGAAAAAAGTAGAAAACAATCACCGCGAGAATTCTTCATGGTAACATTTTTTAGATCTCTGGTGTCGCGGTTTTGTGGATGTAATCACGAGGCGCTCACAGCATGGTGTTGTGTTTTGTTCACAGATTTTGTTCTTAAGTGCGACTGTAGCTTTCCGGACAAATTTTTTGTCACTGGCCGATTTCAAGTCGGATTTGTCCAGAACAAATCTGAAATTGCGCTCTAGTGCGACTTGGCCCTTACATTGGAAAAACGCAGGGCCTTTCTAATTGATACTAGTATCCAGATACCCTTGTTGATCTTGTCGTAAAAACCCTGCGGCGGCCATATCAACATTAGAAGGGAAAAATTGGGAAAATGGGAAAAATAATAAATTATATGAAAAATTCCTTGTAGACGGTGTCGGGGTGTTGGGTAGAGCTATAACTGACAGGGTCCAGACCGAGTTGGTAGAAGTGCCGGTTCACCCTCAAGCCATAGGGGAAGAAAAAACAAAATGAAATAAAATGAAATGAATGAATTGAAATAAAATAAAGAAGTGTAGAGTTCTTCGAAGAATTCTAGCCTAGAAAATGGGAAGTGGTGGTGGGCAAAACAAAAGAAAAAAAAACCTTCTCAGGAGTGACTGGGAATGGGGAGGGATGGGAAAATGGGGTGGTCCCTCCTGAGAAGGTCTGGTGGTCTTCTTTAGTTTCAAACCAAAAGACAGATAGAGTTGCAAATTCCTATAGTGCAGGACATAATTCTTTTTACTGGATAATGTTGGAATAAGCTTGGCAACCTGTCCTATGGTAATTCCAAACTGTTCCTGAATATTTTTACAGTATGGTGAGATCATATCTGGTGTCACCGTCATTTTTTCTGCAGCAAGAGGGTAATCATTGTGCAGTTCATGTAACTCCTGAGGATAGTCTAAATCTGCCTCAAGTATATATCCCTTTTTGAGCTATTTTGAAAAAATAGCTCATATGTCAGTGGTGTGAGCGTATGTGTCTTTGTGGCTTTGTAACTTTGTATGTTCGGATCTTTGTTGCAAGAGCCAATAAGCTTGAAGGTACTATTAGTTGATGCTTAGGAACCAATGAGATCTTAGCATCTACTTAAACATGACATTGGTAAAGGTCGAACAAGGGCACTTTGAGACCGCCATCTTGATTCTTCACAATTTTTTCGTCTTTTATTACGGCTACAGGTGTTTGGAAACATTATATTAAATATCTTCATTATTCAAACGCTGTGTACAGTGATGCAGCTGTTTAAGGGTTCATATTTTAGTATGGATGCAGCTGGATGCTGCGTTGAGGCATTTCTGACCTAATTCGGCTATCGGTACAACGCACGTCAGTATGAGTTCTGTTTCACCTGCTACAACTGGGTAGAGTGTAAAAGATCATATATTTTCAAAGCTCTTCCAATGAAGCAATAATTGATATTTAGATATAGACTTTAATTCGAAAGTATGCGCCCTATAAAATGTGGTTTTAGAAGTTTAAAAAGGCAGCTTATTTTTGTGAAAGCTGTACCGAGTATTGTTAACCCTGTAAACAAGCTTTAAAAATATTATTCTCTCGCTTACAAAGTTCAACAGACCTTTTCCGTTCTGGTAAAACAAAACAAAAAAAAGAATAATAAGTGAACAACATGATACATCCTTCCTGCATAATAAGTATTATAGTTTCTGAAACGTATTTTATTTAGTAAAGATGCGTAACTTAAGTAGAAACAGTAGCGTTAGGGAATAAAATTGGAAGAAGCTAGTTGACACAATAATTAGATACTGTTGTATTGAGTGGAGTAACATGATACAAGCAGAAATATATTTCGGCAGTTTGATAATTTTCTTGAAAGTTAATAAATGTTAGGCTATCAACCTTGACATTGCATGAAACATAACATAATTGCAGATGTCGTAATAAAGCCGAGGTGATTTCTTAAAATCGCTTGAGAAAATTTTGTAGTAAAACAATTTGCCTTTTTTTTACGTACGAATTGTAAAAGGGCCAAAGACCAACATCTTCACATGCAAATTGTGTGCATGAGTTATTTTTATAATTCTGTTTAATACTGTGTGATAACTCGAATTCCCTCACGTACGAACCCCGAAAGGGGGCAAAGTCCAACACTTTCACGTGCCAGCTGTGTGACTGTACATCTTATGCAGATTGGCTTTTCACAATAATAATAGTAACTTGGACGTATGAAGACCTGCTTCGTTTAGTAACCAATGCCCTAAAAAAAGGCTCTTGTCTTTTAAGAAGCAATAGCTTTTAAAACACGAAGAAATAAGTTGTCGGAGTTAAAGACTGTGTCACAATAAATAAATGTTACGTTATCAACCTTGACGTTGCATGAAACAATTTAATTGCAGATGTTGTAATGAAGCCGAGGTGATTTCTTAAAATCGTTTGAGAATATTTTATTGTCAACAATTTGCCTTTTTTTTTTTGTACGAATTGTAAAAGGGCCAAATACCAACATCTTCACGTGCAAATTGTGTGCAAGAGTTATTTTTATAATTCTGTTTCCTTACTAGTTTACTGTGTGATAACTCGAATTCCCTCACGTACGAACCACGAAAGGGGGCAAACTCCAACACATTCACGTGCCAGCTGTGTGACTGTACATCTCATGCAGATTGGCTTTTCACAATGATAAATAGTAACTTGGACGTATGAAGACCTGTTTCGTTTTGTAACCAACGCCTTAGAAAAGGCTCTTGTCTTTTAAGAAGGAATAGCTTTTAAAACATGAAGAAATAAGTTGTCGGAGTTAAAGACTGTTTCACTGAGTAGAATCGCACGTGAAAACCTCGTGAATCATGATGATGCAACCATCTACCACAATGATAAAAATCCTGGTATTTCGTAACTATTCAGTATTCGATGAGTCACATTTTGGCTTAAGAAACGCCGAGGAAACCTTAGAGTTTTCCTTCTAATCAACGTTTGGTGAGTAGAAATTTATTTTACTTTAACAATTTGTTTAACTTGCACCAGATGTAACGGGGAAAGACAGAGGAAAGTGAATATATAGGTTGAGGATCGACTCAGCTGAGCGTTTCGCATTTTCATTTATGTAGCGCAATACCCAATTTCGCACAAAAACCAAATTTACATTTAGGATGAAAAAGGTAGATTCATCACTCTTGGTAAGGTTACACCGAAGTATTATAGTTACAATGAAGCATTCAAAATAGCTCATGCACGTTTAACGTGCCTATGTTTATTATCAGGCAATAATTATAGTCTTACTCATAATCTTATCAAGTTGCTTGGGGGTTAGCCATTTGAATCCACCTGTTGGAAGGCACTGAGACATCGCCCCTCTATACAAGTTGTTAGCATCTAGTTAGTGGATATTCTTACAGGATTTCTCTAAATTATACTCTTTCATGTACTTTTTATTTGCTTCCCTTTATCGGTTAGCAATGTAGGAAATCCCACCTCTCGTCCCCGTTTCAATAAATTGGAACATGTCCACATCAGTCATAAGCTCCAGTTTTATACCAGTCATTATTAACATAGCATCCCAACTCAAGCCAGGAGATGTAAAATAATGGGCAGGATCTAGTTTATAGTACTGAAGGCAAGTCTTAGGAAAGTTCTCAAGTATATCCGCCAGCAGTAAAATATCACTCTTGAGATACTGATCGTGATAATTTCCCATTGTCCTCACCCCAAGTGTATCCAATACGTTTTGAGCATGTTCATATTGCTCATCGTTGATGCCCTCATCTGTAAGAATACTATAAAAGTCCTCTTTTGGGGGTAGTTGTTGGTCCCCAAACTTCTGAAAACTGTCCATATAATAATTATTTATTTATTAGGCGCAAAATAGCATTGAAATATATGATCTAATGCACACTAACAAAAAATAAAAATAAATAAATAATGAATATAATAAATAATAAAAAAACCCTAAAAATTTAGTATAAATCTCTCTATATATACAATTTAAAAGGTAATTATAAGACTCGATTTAAAAAAATGTATTGAAACTAAGTAATTGAAATCATCTTAAAAACGGCAATAGACAAGTCATTTATGAGTCTTAAAACTATAAATCATAGGCTTCTTTAAAAAGTAAAGTTTTCAGTTTGGCTTTAAAAGGCTTCAAGCTTGTTTCCATCCTTAACGCACTTGGAAGTTTGTTCCATAGAGTCGACACAGCCATTTTGGAAAGCCCTGTCGCCTAAGGTCTTTTTAGACTTGAACTTCGGTGGAGCAAGTAACAGGTCATCATTTGACCTAAGGTTGTAGGAGGACTTCTCCTTGACTCCGATTAAACTTTGTATGTAATATGGAACTGGTCCTTGTATTGCTTTACGTGTTATAAGTATCACCTTGAATTTAATCCTGAAACAGGTGTGATGTGACAAAACCGCGGAGTATTTGTTGTTAACCTGGCGGCCATATTCTGAAGACGCTGTAGCTTATTGATATTATTTCTTGGGAGACCGTGGAGTAAACTATTACAGTAATCTACGCGCCCTATTAACAGTGCATGAACCAAACATCTGGTTGAATCCAACGTTAAGTATTTGCTGATCTTTCTTATATTGTGCAGATAGTAGTAACCTGTACAATATGTTTTTGTAATTTGAGCATCAAACTTCAGATTTCGATCAAACGGAACTCCAAGATTTCGTGCAGTACTAACAGGAGCAACGCTGATGTCACCAAAAGACAGTTCTGCGACACTAACCTTTTCCAGTTGTTGTCTACTGCCAATGATCATAAATTCAGTCTTATCATCATTAAGTTTAAGTTTGTCCATCCACATCCATGTTCTAATCGCTCTGATACAAAATTCCATTGACTTAACGGCTTCCTATTCATTCACTTCATTATTAGGCTTGAACGATAGATAAAGTTGAGAATCGTCAGCGTATGCATGCGCTTCAGGTAAATGAGGTTTTATTACCTCAAATAACTTACTAGAATACAAGGTGAATAGTAAAGGCCCTAAGCAAGAACCTTGTGGTACGCCAAAAGGCAGATTCAAGCTCTCCGACCGTTCTCCATTCACGATGACATGTTGTGAGCGACCAGGCAAATATGACCTCAGCCACTGCAGTTCTGTGCCTGTGATTCCAAAGGACATCTCAAATCGGCGAATCATGATATCACCATCCACGGTGTCAAAAGCTGAACTTAAATCCATAAGGACTTGTAGCGTAACATGATGTTCAATGATATCTTGATTGTGCAAGATATCTTTGAAAATTCTTAAGAGCGCAGTTTCGGTGCTATGCTGCCTTATATACGCTGACTGGAATACAGGATACAAGTCATTGTCTTCTAAGTGTTTATGTAACTGGTCAAATACAGCTCTCTCTGTTACTTTGGAAACAAATTGGAGATTGCTCATTTGCCTTAAGTTCTTATTGTCCATACTCAGTCCAGCCTTCTTAAATAAAGGTTTAACAATTGCATCCTTCCATTCACTGGGAAAATAACCTTCTTTTAATGATAAATTATCCACAGCAGTGATCACTGGCAGCAACTCGTCAAGGCAGTTCACAACTAGTGATGTAGGCAACGGCATCCAACGGCACGCGTGCAAAACGTCTGCGCATGCACAGGGTCTCTATTTTCAATAATTAAAATTTGCAAAATCTTCCCCATTTAAATTGAAAAACATTTAGGAATGTTTCATATGTTTAATGGTTTGCAGCCGGTTCTAGTATTAAGCACAACAAAAAATTACTTAAACTAACTTAACTAACTGACTGGTAAAGTCGTCCAGTACAAGGTTTTTCCGTCCTTGTTTTTCCACTTAGCATGCATTGGTCGTTTGCGTTGTTCGCATTGACCGAGCTCAGCGACATGATGACCAAAACAGCAACAATGGCTACGGCGAAGTGCTGCCAGAGCGAGCGTGGACTTTCAAACATGATTTTCGCCTTTGGTGCAAGGAGGAAAGTATGTGGTGCAAAAGAGAGAAACTAAAGCAATTAATAAACTTTGTGTTCGTGAAATTCTAAGCTTATCTTTTGTGTGTGGAGCTTACTTTTTTGAATTTCGCGGCCGGAATCTAGTTTGTTTTGGTATCGCGTATAATTTTGAACGCATGCGCACTGCGTTTTTCACGCGTTTCGCATCCAACAGCATCCAAGTGTGCAATGTTTTTATCTCCTGTGCTCTGAAACTGACACAGCACAGAATTCTTGAGATCACTCCTGAAGCTATTCAAATCAATGTATTTAGCTTTCTGTAGGTAATAGTCTTAACAGAAAGTTCAGGCTTACATAGAGACCGCCAGCACATGATAATGGCATGATCAGAAATATACCGATCAATGAGCGTGAGCGGTACGCCATGTACAAGATTATCAGACACACGCGTGATTAGAAGATCCAAAATATGACCATGAAGTTGTGTTGCCTCAGTAACGTGTTGTTGTAAACCAAACGATCGAAGTAAGTCGAGAAATTTTAGAGAATCAGGATCTTGAAGCTTGTCGATATGAAAATTAAAATCGCCAGTTACTAAAAGTTGTTCTTTATATAGAAGCAGAGACTCTAAATAATCTGAAATCTCGTCGATGAAAACATTAGTTGGAGCTTGATGGTTCTCGGAATACGGCGGTCGATAAACAATAACGAGCCGTATTTTGTAAGGCGGTGATGACACTATCCATTCCGCAAACTCATAGGAATCTTTTTCACCAGCATCCACTATTTTCACGGTCAGCGTATCACGGAATAAGAGCCCCGTTCCTCCTCCACGACGCAAAGTGCGTGGATGTTCCATCAGTTTATAACCATCAGGACACAGTTCGGCTTTGACGGCTGAATCATTAATTGTGAGCCATGTCTCTGTAATGGCAATCAAGTCCACTATACTCTCACAAATAAAATAAAAATATCCACAGTTTTATTCCTTACAGAGCGTGCATTGAAACAACTTAGTAACATCTTATGTTTACCGTGAGCTGATCGATCCATTCCTTGAATTCAAATTATCAACATAATTATGAAAATTTCGTCTACTTTGGCTTTGAATGGAGAGTGTAGGGCCAGGATTGAGTTTGAATACTAAGTCGCCCTTTAACAATAAGTGAAATGTCGCCGGAGAATTCTGGTAATATAATCATTTGGGTAAACGCCTTTCTTTTTCATAAGAGCTTGTTTCTCCCCCTCGAATGCCTGAGAAGTATAATTAAACTTATCTGCAGGAAGGTTATCTGCTAATCTCTCCAAACTGCTAGCCAAAAGTTGGAAACTATCTAGAAATACTAAGTGTTTACCCAGCATAAATGCCATGTATTTCTCCATACTATTAAGGATGCAGTTTATATCCAAATTATTGCTTTTCCCTATGGAGCCTATCTCCTGCATAGTAAAATGGGAATCATAACCTCTCAAATTATGGAAAATAACTGGGATCTTAAACTCTTTTGGGTTAATCAGCAGCTTCAGATAACGGTCCTGTTGCGCTGATCCCCCATACTGCCCAGTAATGTGACAATGATCCCTGACCTGGATATCTGTTTCCTTATACTGGTGGCCACAAATATGACACTCTACTGCAGTCTTAAACATCTGTTCCTCCTCATTAGTCATATTCAGAGGCTTCTTGAATTTGGTACTAATAATCTTCTGGCAGTATTGCACTTCTGAAAGCATCTGCTGCATGAACTTATTAATAGAATCCTCCCATCTGTAAATTTTCACTGGTTTAGTATATTTATCATAAAAGCAGCATACTACTTTATAACCGTAGCTGCAGCTAGTGTGCTTTTGATATTTTTCGGTATAAGATTTAGCACCACTAGGCTGGCATCCTTGTACCTTCCCAGTAATAGCTTCAAAATCAGCGTATATAACAAACGGCGCAGGCATCTGCTTATGATAGTTCTGAAACTAGAGTATATTATTGCCCTTTTGAGGCAGTCTAATTGCTTGTTCCCCATTTATTACCATACAATTAGTCTTATGCTTAGAGAGTACGTCTTCGGCACTGAAACATTGGAGACAATGTACGCAGAAATGCTTTCTCTTCCTTTGCTTAGTCTTATTATACATCATTCTGTGAAAATCCTTGATTAGCACATAATGTTTCTTCTCTCCCTCAGTAATCAGCAGCAGGTTCAAAACATCATTATTATTCTGATCAGACACATAAATAGGAAAAAATTGCGTATCCTCATACCCGAAAACATTACTATTTATGCTATTTTGCTCCTCAATTTTGGTATAATATTTTACACTGACTGGAAACTCCACACCCTGGTAATTCAATTGTTCTGATAACTCTCTATCCGACTTTCTGATTCTATGTGGATGATCCTCTTGTGGATTCAAATAACGAACATGACACCAACAAAAACACTCATTATCCTCATTCTTAAGGTTAACCAAACCCTTTCTCGAATGTTGGAGTTCAATTGGCAGGGGTATATATGAGCTGCCTTTTGTGGGCTCATACACTACTGTATTAACATAATGCTCATCAATGCTACTAATAGTTCAGCCACTGCTGTCAGACAGCCAAACACCAATATCGTTCAATATTTGCTGCTGTGATAATTGAAAGCTTGGTAAAAAATCATTGGGGTTAATTACAATTTGCGCCCGATTATTAAAATAGGCTGGCTTATGTATATTATTATCATTCTTTCTCCTCACTAATGTTACTTTTAATGTCTCCCCAAATTTGAAACCTTTTGTGTTATTGAGTATGGTTCCAAATAATCTACTGGTTGCTAATCTTGTAGTTTGTAACTAAATAAGGGCATCTCTATCAGACTTCAATGATATTTCAAACGACTGTGTAAAACCCTTGAGAGCCCTTCGTTTTACATTAATCCTTGTCCTAGGAGCTGGTACTGGTTGTTGTTTCTTTGTTCTGGGGGCTAGAATAGGCCTATAATGCGGAACAGGATTAGCTTCAAAATACTGTATTAATTGTTGGACATTTTTCCTTGGTGTAGGAATAGGGCATGCTTCTCTCTGTCTCCTCGCAGCAGGAATAGGGCGTGCTTCTTCCCTCACAAGTACTAAATTCTCGAGCTCACTATCTGTAAGCCCAGAAAACAATCTTCTTATAATTTCATTACGTCGGCTCATTATTTTATTACTACTGTTATTATAATATTTTTCATATCTGCGCTCATATTCTGCATACTAGAGTAAAGAAGGATCTCTTTAAGCCATTTAGCTTCCAGGAAAATCCCAAGGTCAAGGTGAAATATGGTCCAAAGGACAGACTGCCCCCATACCCCCATATTGTACACCACTCACGGTATTACTTCATTAAAAATGTTCTTCCAGTGAGCCGTTTACATAACAAATCTTAAGAGAAACTACACTTATGCTGAAAATATATCTATGTATTTAAAAACTATCCTATAATTAATTACACAAAAATTAACCTAAAGTATTCATTAAATAATATATAACTAAAAATGTTCTATGACAATTCCCTTAAGGCAATCCCCGGTTCAAGCCAAAGACAGGGCAGACTTGAAAGGGTTGAGATTTATCTCGTCATTAAGCTCATTTTCTAGGCCATTCAACATGACTGCCCCCCTATAGCTAAAAGTGCGCTTAGCAGCTTCAGTAAGGAGCCTAGGTACAAAAACATTGTTCAAAGCACCTCGTACGTTGTAGGAATGAACCCGGGAGGTTCGTTTAAACACCTTCTTTTATCTCTCAGGGTAAAGGTTATTCAGAGATTTAAAAACACTTGTTGCAAGCTGCTTAGAGCGTCTTTGCTCAAGGGTATCTTGTCCTAAGTCTTGAAGAATATCTGCAGATCGTGTATTACAATCACTAAATGTTATAATTCTCCCAGCCCTATTTTGCAATCTCTGGAGTCTGTCACACAGGCCTTTTCCCATACATCCCCAGACCTTTGAGGAATAATCAAAATAAGGAGCGACCAAGACCTCATACATTCTCAGTAAGGTTTGGCGAGGCACCAGGGAACGAACCTCTATTTCCAGATATTTAACACTCATCCTTTGAAATCGAGGTGAATATTGGCTGAATATATATCAAGCCACTATTCACCGAGATTGAAAAGAATAATTGTTTTAGTATATACACACGAAGTGATCTCAACAAAATCACAGAGGAAACCATTAAAAAGTTCGATTTGATTGACGGATTAAATCACACGAAAGCTTAAAAATAGATCTTTTCAGAATTTTCAAACATGGCAATTCACAAGGCTATCACTTCTCAAACAACAGCGAAATGGCTTAAATGGAACCGCTAAAAGTTTGAATTGTTTCCTTACCTGAGAAGAAAAGAAGGCCTTTGTTGTTTTCTGTTGACTCCCCAAGTGTATAGCCCAAAAGGTTTGTTGTGTCGTCCTTCGCATGAAGTGCTAACAAAAATGGTGGCTCGGTTGCTCGAGGTAAGACGTCGTCTTCGTGTAGCATTCTTTTTCCTATTTACTTGAAAGGTAGAATTTCTGCAAACATTTTGCTTTCAAATTTGTCGTAAACAAACTTCGATTTTTGGGCCAAATTTTTCTTGTTAGGAAACGGTGAGTCTACGAAACGGCCTATTCTACGCGAATACACGGGAGATGTAAACAATCCATCGAACACAAAACTCAGCTACAGTAAATGGAAAAACGCCGTTTTGAATCCCTTGAAGTCTTTTCTTGGCTTAAAAAAGGTCAACCCTAGGATTTTGTCGACTTTTAAAAGATCGTTCTCTAGAAAAAATGGGAAAAACACCGAGCTCACATATTATCCACTAGCTAGCGAACCAATCAGATTGCTTAAGTCACCAAGATCACTGAGTGTGTATGTACTAACTATAGTTAGTCACCCGATTCAATTGTCGACTATTAACATTAACGTTTAAGTCACCATTTAAATGCCTTAGTCGGTAGTGGCTTCCAATTATCATATATTTTGTCTTTTTGACATTTAATGTGAGTTTATTGGATTTTAGCCACTTTTGAACCTCATCCAAGTCTTTGTTTAACTTTTCTTCATGAGTCAGTGTGGGGTCATAAGCAGAAAGGGTAAGCGAGGTGTCATCAGCATATATGAGTACAGATGATGACAACTCTCATTCTTGTAAGTCATTTATACAAATGAGAAACAACAAGGATCCAAGTACAGAACCTTGTGGGAACCCAAAACTAATAGGAAGATAGTCTGATAGAGTGCCATTTACAAAAGTACTCTGAAAGCGATTTGATAGGGTATGATTTGAACCACTGAACTGCATGCGGGTCGAGACCATAAAGCTTCCGTTTTTTCAACAACATGTTGTGGTCAACGGTATCAAAGGCTTCCTTAAGATCTAGACAGAGTACACTGTTAATTAGACCATCATCAATATTTAAGTACCAGTTGTTAGTAGCTTCAAGCAAGACAGTAAAAGTAGAATGCATAGGTCTGAAACCATGTTGAGAACCTGCCAGCAAATTATTGTGTGTTAGGTATTCATAAAGTTGTTTGAAAATAACCTTTTCGATTATTTTACTGACAACTGGTAGAATAGATATAAGTCTATAGTTGTTAGGATCAGACTTAATATTCTCATTATATAAAGGTAATACTTTGGAAATTTTCCGCTCGTCTGGAAAATACCCACACCTAATGGATAGGTTAACTATATGGGTGAGAGAAGGCACGACTGCGGGACAAGCTTCTTTTAAGAGCCTTGTAGAAATACCATCCAGGCCTGTAGCCTTGTCGACTCGAATGGAACTCACTAAACAATGAACAACACCGCAGTGAGTCTCCCTCAGCGTAAAACTAGAATCTGATGGCATAATGTAGTCCTCTAAAGAAACTCTAGATTTGGGAATATTCTTGTCTAACCTTGGCCCAATGTAAGTAAAGTGGTAATTGAGAGCATAAGAGATTTCTATTGTGGTCGTACATGAGTTATCTCCAACATCTATTCTGTTTATTTCAGCTGTTGGTAAATTTCTGCCTAACATTGAATTTACTCCTTTCCATGATTTCTTTAGGCTCGATTACCAGCCGCTGTTCGGGAGAATGAGCCCACACTCATCCCCCCAAAAGAGCGGCTGGACGCGTGCGATTTCCTTTGTTGGTTTAAGCCAATCATGCTACCGCCTGCAGATTTTCGTGTGGCAAAGATTGTCGCAGAAATTATCACATCAAAACAGAAAGTCCTTCCTTGATCCATCGGATGGCGAAGCGATTTCGAATGTGCGGAGACACTAGGCGGAATTCTAGAATCCGAAGGAACACAACGTTTTGTTCGATTGTTTG